GTCTTGTTTGGATTTTGCTCTGGTTCGGCATGTGGCGGTGACGGAGGTGTCCCTGGACGCGCGTATGTCAGACCATAGCGGTATTCTACTTCGCATCGACTTTTCCGGTTCTTGCCAGTTCACGACTATCAAGAGTTATCCTGATCTGCGAGTGTCGCAAGAAGAGTGGCATCTCCTTTGGTCCAATGTTTGGTCACGCACCCGGGACACTTGGGAGCGCGCTTTGCACAATGGTGATACCGAGGAGTTGTGGCGCATCTGGAGCACGGCTTTGGAAGAAGCCGGGGGAGTTGCTCCACATCTTGCTCATCGTTTTCGGGGCACAGAGCTTCACACCATGGACTTGGTTTTCAAGGGGCCCAATGCGTCTCGAATGAATCATAGGGAACGTCGTTTGCATCGTGTTTGGCGCCAGATCACCGAGCTTGTCAAACAATGGGAGCGGGGCAATGTGGATGCAAACTTGTTGAACAAAGCTACTCGTGCTTTTCGCAACCTTTGTCGTGAAGGCTTTATCGAAGAAGATGCTACAGAGCCTGTGGATATGCAACAGGCGTTGGACGTGGCTATCAGAGCGGAGGCCAAGGAAACGGCTTTGGACAGGTTCACAATTTGGAAAGAAGGAGCTCGCAAGGCCGGGCTCAAACCTTTGTTTGATTTCATTGGTGGCAAGACGCGATGTGGCCAGGTTGCCGTCACGACTCCAGATGGGCTCACGGCCGACCCTGCTGCTGTCCTTGCTCATGCTCAGGCGCAGTGGAATCGCAAAAATCATTCGGCTTTGGACGATGACCTCCGGCAGGCTTATTTGCGGCGGGTGCGGCCTCATGTAGTTCCTCACGTTCCTCCTCACGATGTCGATCGGCCCTTCTCTGTAAAGGAGCTCCGGCGTGCTTTGAAGGACACTTCTGGGTCCGCTCCTGGTCCTTCGCAGTGGTCGGCTGATCAGTTGTTGAAGGCGCCCGCTGAGGCGCTTGAAATGTTGGTTACGCTGTTGAACACCATCAAAGACACGGGTGTCTGGCCTGCAGCTTTGCGCATGCAGGAAGTTACCATGATTCCAAAGCGCGCGGGTGCCTCGGACATGCGCCCGATTGGGGTCACGGCAGTGGTCACTCGGATCCTGGAGAAGATGCTCCTTTCCAGATACAAGCCTTGGGTCGCGCAGATTCAAAAGACTGATGCCACCGAGATCTTGCTATCTGTCGAGGCCCACATTGCTCACGCCACCTCCACGGGCCTGCAATGTATTTTCCGTCAAAGCGATCTGAGCAATTGCTTCACTCGCCTGGATGTGGACATCGCCAAACAATTGGCGCAATGGTTTGGGATGCTCCCCAAACACGCCGAGCTTTACTTTGAGCTCAATCGTCGCAGGCCCGCTGTCATCAAGGCTGGCTCGGCGGTTAGTCAGTGGCAGGTTCCAGACAGGGGCATGCCCCAAGGTGATCCGGTGAGTCCTCTTGCAGCGGCCTTGTATGCGGCGGCTCATGAGGCCGTGATCCGGAATGACTTCCCCGCGGCTTCCTTCTACACGTTTGTGGACGACCGCACGATATGCACAACACAGGAGCAGCACATGACAGGGGTTGTGAACCTTCTTCGTGAACTTGATCATCTCAGTGGACAAGCCGAAGACGCTACAAAGGAGGAAATGGCTATCGTCAATGCAGTACCAGAAAGCCGTGATCTTTTCCCTCACGCGCGGGACGAGTACATTGACTTGTTGGGCATTCGTTTTGACCTCAATGGCAAGGCCGCTCCCAGCACTGCCCCCAGAGCCCGGGCTCGCTTCAAGGAGCTCGGGCTGCGGGTGGAACGTTTGGGCAAGATCACGCGCAATTTGCAACTGGGTTCTTCGCAGCTATGCAAGGTGATGATCGCCACAATGGGCCTTTTTCGATGGGATGCCGCGTGGATCTCGTGCAATTATTCGGAGGTCAAGTCCTTGGCCACGAAGATTGAAGTTACTTTGCAGGCTCGGAAACGCTACGCGGCATGGCGCCATCGTGGAGCTTCTTGGGTTTTGCAGCCGAAAGGTTGGCATGTCGAACCTATCGCTTTAATAACCTTTGCGGCGATCTGTGCTGGTCGACGATTGCAATTCTCTTCCTGGCGCACCGTCATCGAGCATGCTTGGTCCCAGCCGTCCGGTTTTCGCAAAAGCTTGGTGGATCGCATGAGGGATGCCTACGAGCGTGTGGGCTGGGAGGCTACAGATTCTCCTTGGACGGTTCAGACCCCGCAAGGCAGTTTCGACCTCAACATGATCAGCCGGGCCGTTTTTGGACACCTCCTGCGACAAGGGTGGAGACATTACATGATGAAGTGCCACAACTCTTGCAGACACGTTTGCATTGATGTGGATAGTATCGATGTCGTTCCTTTGCGCAAGTTTGTGGATGCAACGGTTCCTTCTTCAAGAGCTTTGGCTTGGCGATGCGCAGTTGCGGCAGAGCCCAACCATGAGAGGATGGCTCATATTGATCCAGTCACCTTCCCTTCTCAGGCGTGCCCCCACTGTGGCGCTCAGCGCGCTACCACCTTTCACCTCATGTATGAATGCGATAGCTCTGCTGCTCTTCGGGCAGAGCTGGATCTACAGCCCGACGCCCTCGGTGGTGATCTGGCAGGGTCTCAACGAGCGGCTTGGTTGCAGAACGGTTGGGCGCAGTGGGTTCCTCCACCTGCGGCTGGCGATTGGACTTGGCACAGAATCACTCAGTGGATTGAGGAAGTTCGTGCTTTGCTTGTGGCTCACCCTCCCAAGCTTTTCAATGGTGAGTTTCTCATTGCGACGGATGGCAGCGCGCAGTCACCAGCAGACCCGGAGACTCGAGTGGCAGCTTGTGCTGCGGTGTGGCGAACGTCTTCTGGTTTAATTTCCTGGTCCCAGCCTTTAGGCAATATTGAGAACACGGTCAATGCTGCTGAGTTGGTCATAGTCGTCGTGGTGGCAAAGGCGGCGGAGGCAGCGTCTATGGCTTCTTCTTTGCGTGTTCTTACAGATCATGAAAGGGTTCCTGCAGCTTTCAAGAGCAGCAAATCTTCGTGCGACAAAGTTTCTCTTTGGAATGCTCTGAAGGAGGTTCACCGAGATGCTGGTTTTCGTCTGAGTTGGGTTCCTGCGCATGGCAAGCATGCACATGTTCATGTTCCTACGGAGTGGAGAGAGCTCAACATGGAGGCAGATCGCCACGCCAGCTTAGCTGCTCGTGGCGCCGTACACTTGCTGATTCCTTGGATTGGCGAGGTAAAGAGGAAGCGGCAGCGCGCCGCAGATATCCTCAGGCTTAAGCTTGAGGTCTTTCGACCTACACATCTTCAGCTTCTTGCAGGTGCTGGAGTTCGTTCTTGAGTTCTACATGTGGAGTGAAGACGTTGTCATCTTGCTCTACCTTTTCCTAATTTCACACTACGTTGCCGCGCCCAGCCATTCCGATGGCCTCGCGGAGGCGGGCGATCTTGTGGTCGCGCCGAGAGCAACACGAATTACCAGCAACAGTTGTGAGATTACTCACGATGAGGTTGCCGTGCATGGCGGAGCTTCACCGGGCATGTTTCGGAGCTCCAAAGCGCCGCTTAATCCTGATAGCGAGTATACTTGCCGAAGGATGGCGTCCAAATTCATTCCAGATTGCTTTGCTCCTTTCTTGGAGACTTTTTCGGGACCTTGGAAAGTGCGGGCATCCCTGCATTCTTCAGGTGATTCTGGAAACAGCGAGAAGATTCCATCTTCCCCTGCAACAAGTTCCAGTTCTTCTTCGTGCTCTTTTGGCACTACGAGTTCCTCTTCCTCTTGGCTGGCGTCCTTTGATACGCCTGGGTTTCTTAGGCCTTGGGGTTGTTTCGGGGTTTTTTGTGGTTCTTGGTCTTCTGTCTTCAAGAAACCGGCGGGGACGGGAGGACCCCAAGAACAGATCAAGACCTGCGGGCATCAAGAATTGTCCAAAAACTCTTGTGGGGTGCAGGAACCCCAAGTGGCAGCGAAGTCTGTCACTGATATCCTGAGTACTGGCCCGCCCCTGGGCCTCCCAGATTGTAGGACCTTCTCTGATGTAGTTCCTTGCCATGGTTTCCATGCACAGCCTCTGGTTGACTCTGGCAGTGACATGAACATGTTTTCTGATGATGCCGCTCAATGTTCAACAACATCGTCGCGATCTGTCAGTGCGAAGTCTTGCAAGATCCCGGGAGATTCTTCGCAGTGTTCCCTGGCTTGGAAGTGCTCTCGTTATTGGGTGGTTCAGTCACGACGAGCTGGAGGAATGCGAGTGCCGGGTTCGCGCGGTACCTCTTTCTGGCGCCGATTGGGCTCCAAACCTAGATCTGTCCTTAGGCGGTCACGAGCTCAGTTCTTGCTTGCATTGCGCACAAACATGCAAAGTGAGTCCTGCTTGTCTGCACACACTTACAATGCTGCGGTTTCCTTGTTGGGGGGAGGGGCTGCTGCGGGTGCGGATTCTGACAATTCCAAGAAGGACAAACAAACCAGCAAGAGAGACCAGGCCTTCCATGATGCCTTGTTCCACGCCTTGACAGAAGTTTCTGACAAGTTTACTCGCTCCGCGAAATCGGGTGAGGATTCGGATAGGTCCAAAGGGAACAAAGGCAAAGGTAAGGGCAAACAGTCACTGCGCGAGGCCCTTGCGAAGTTGCTTGAACGCCCTCCGGCAGGACGTGCGTTACTTGACAAGTTGAATGCGGTTTTGCGGGCTGCTAAGGGGGGGCATCTGCTACTTGAGGATGGGCCCGGCTCCGAGGCTCGTGATCAGGGTTCCCCTTCACCTGCTCCCCAACATAAGGCCAAGTCTGCTGCCAAACCCATTCTTAAGAAGCCTCCGGCGCCCCTTACTGAAGCTGCTTCTGCTAGAGCTCCTTTGGGGGGTTTTGCTTTGCGGGATGAAGACTGGCCCAATGTTGTTTTGTTGAAACAAGCTTCGGTCCTTGCTAAGCTTCAGAGAGGGGATTTGCCACATTCGGGCCCGGTCGCGGCCATCATGACTGAAGAAGCTGCGGAAGAGGCAGCGGCCCTGTGGAATGAGCATGCTTTGTCCGAGAAGGGTGGTCTCACGTGTGTCATTGCGTGTCGCTCCGCGTCAGAGGTTGCGTGGGTACCCCGTCGAGGTTTGACCTTGCAGTCCCAGTCCCAATGGCTTGGTCTGAAACACAATGATCAGGTTGTTTTGCGCTCAGTCTCCCTTGCGGTCTTAGGAAAAGGGGTTTCTCCCAAGAGTCCTGTTATCAACAAACCCAGGGAGGCCAAAATCCCTGAAAAGATTGAGATGCATACCGTGCGTTTGACAGTCTATGCCAAGTACATGGCGGAAAAGCTGACTACTCAGTTGGCCGATTCCTTTCTGAAACAAGTTTGGCCTGAGGACGATAAGAAAGCTAGGAACTTTGCCGCGTGGCGTCCTGAAACGTCTTCGGGTAAAGAGGTCGCTCTCGTCAGCTACTGCACTTGCTCTTCCTCCACGGCTTCTGTCTTGTTGGGCAAGTCAGGTCAGACTCCTCTTTTTGTGTCTCGCTTGGCCAAAGACAAAAAGAAGGACCCTGAGGTGCATGCGCGTTGGGTTGATCGGCCCAGTGACTCCTCTGATTTTGAGTATTGGCTTCACGCTTGCAATGTCCTCAAGCAGTCAGGTGCCACCACTGGCTTGATCCATCGGTTGGGTGGGGGACGGGACTTGGGGTTCGAACAGAAGGGTTTAGATCCCAAGACCTCCGCCCCTTTCTACTGGTTGGCTACGTGCCCTCCTTTTTGGGCTGCTCAAGATCTTTTGAATGTGCTGACGTCCGTCGGTTGGGACAATCCCGAGGTTCTCGGTCAATCCGGGAAGTCCTGGCGATTTCGAGCTAAGGCCCGTCCGACTAAGGAAACCACTTTCGTTTATGAGCTAGCGGACGACGTCACTTTGAAGATTGTACCGCAGCCACGACGCTTGGACATACACAATGAGTACGGCAAGCCTCTGGCGCGACCTAAAGTTCCATGGACGACGCCGCCGACAACTACCATCGAGGTCCCAGATACGCAGTTGGATGAGCCTATGATGGATGGTGCAAGCCCAGACTCAACAACTACTGCTCATGTGGCTGATGGTGAAGAGAAGAACAAGGTCAAACAACATGGAGCCAAGCCACAAGGCGCGGAGCCACCATGCAAGAAAGCTCGCTCCACCAGAGCCTTTGGCTGCGAAGAGGTGATTCAGGATCCCACTTGCCCTCTCAAAGGGTGGACGGTGATTGAGACCGGCGCCGATGGCAAGTGCGGTTACCATTCCTTGGTTGGAGCCACATACCTCGCCGGTAAGTTCGACATGCAGTTGGATGAAAAGTATGTGTCCAAAGATGCCGGGTCCCTTCGTGTGAAGACCGCGGAGTGGCTCTTTCAGGACAGCGCCAGATTCAAGAAATCATGGGCGGTTGACTCCGACCATCCGGAGCACACGGGCAACTCGTGGGATGAGTACCTCAAGTTGGTTGCTAAGCCGGACTTTTGGCTGGACGAGTTGCAGATGCGTGCGGCAGCCGAGCGCCTCAAGAAGCGGGTTCTCGTACATTATCTGGACACCTCAAAGAAGTGGGCGAGACGAGTGATCAATTCCAGAGCTGAGGGAGAGCCTTTGGTCTTGCTTCTTCGGGACCAACATTTCAGACCGGTGCGTCCTGTCGGAAAGGGTTTCCCGCCGGAGTGGTTGAGAAATGTTGGAGCTCAGATGCCCCATCGCGGCCGAGGTGGAGGACCTGGGAAGTGCTCCGGGATTATCCGTCTTCGGGATGCCCCCGGGATTTTGCGTTCCAGCAGCAAAAAGTCCAAGCAGTCTTCGACGCCTTCATGCTCGACGTTTCGTGTTGGACGCGCTGGCTCTTCCTCAAAGAAGGCAACTTCCGTTTCTACCTTTCGGGTTGGTGGGCCAGGGGATGCACGCGAGACTTCCTCCAACGCTCCTTCGATGAAGTCTTGCTCTACATTCAAGGTTGGGGCTTCCAGTCCCAGTGGTGGCGGACGGCTTGATGCGGTCATTCGGCGTGGCTTGGCTGCCGCAGCGCAGTTTCAACAGGGCTCCTACAAGGCCGTGCCTACGGACAAAGGTTCTTCTTCCTCCTCTTCATCCAATGGGCAGGTGTGGACGAAGGATGGCATCTACAAGTGCACGTGTGGTTGGTCTTTGCCGGAGGCGGCAGCGCTTATCCCGAAGCAAGAGCAAAATCGACGTTTACATGACGCCAGAATGCACTGGTCCCAGTGTCACCCTGGCGAGCCCTTTCCGAAGCTTACCAAGGAGCAACACAAGCAGAAGACGCAGAACATGGCGGACAAGGCGGCTGTGGCGTGACAGCGCATTGCTTGGACACAGTGGTGCAACATGCGCAGCCTCGTCTCAGCAAAGGTCCTCCAAAACCTTCACGACCTCAAGGACAAGTCTGTGGGAGCTCCGCGGCGTGGCAGTCCACGTCGGTTTCAGTGTCGCCGGTGCGAGGGCTGCTATGACTTGTCCCACGCACGCCGCGTGGCATGTCCCGCAACTCCAGACGCAGTGAAAATGAGGTGTCGTGAAGTTGAGAGCGCAGTTCGAGTCGCGGAAGGTCGTCGCACCAAGCGGGCAGCCCGCTTGACGATCCGTCGTGATCCCCGCAAGTCTTCGCGAAAGCCCATGAAGAAGATGTCCAAGAAGATGAAGGCCCGATGCAACAAGCAGACCACTACCCGCCACGTGATCATCTCCAAGAAGTACGCTTTGACAGCCAGGTCAAGCGCCGAGTGAACGTTTTCTGTCCCAGTTGGTGGCAGAAGTGCAGGATTGATGTCCGGCATTCGGGTGGGCGAGGCTTCAAATCCCGGTCCACCGCGACACGCAAAACACAAGGATGATCGTCGCAGAGATTCTTTGAGTCTGTTCTTTGCCAATGTCAGGGGCATCGTTGGTGAAAAATCTCTGGGCAAATGGGAGTTCTTCCGGCAACGCGCCCAAGACTTACACGCTGATGTCATTGCTTTGTCAGAGACCCATCAAGATGATCGTCGTGCTGAGCGGTTCAGCAAAGCGTCGGCGAAGGCTGGTTTTCCTGGCTATGTTTGTTCTCCGGGCACGGGAAATTCCATGGGCACTATGTTGGCTGGTCCTAAAGGTTTCGCCCTTGATCCCTTTTCTTGGCCTATTGAATACAAGGGCAGAGTTTGCAGCGCTGTTTTGCGGTGCGGACGGGCGGACTTGCTTTTGATCTCTGTCTACTTCCCTGTTGGCGGAGGCGAGGCGAAGCGACAGCGTCAGGACTTGGCCGAGATCATTGCTGGCCGTGTTTCCTCTGCGAGCCTTCCTACTATTGTCATGGGCGATTTCAATGCGCAACCTCACGATCCTGAATTGGCTGCATTGGAGTCCGTTTGCGAGTATGCGCACGAGCACACCAAGTATGAGTATCTCTCCACGGCTTCGTCTTGTTTGGATTTTGCTCTGGTTCGGCATGTGGCGGTGACGGAGGTGTCCCTGGACGCGCGTATGTCAGACCATAGCGGTATTCTACTTCGCATCGACTTTTCCGGTTCTTGCCAGTTCACGACTATCAAGAGTTATCCTGATCTGCGAGTGTCGCAAGAAGAGTGGCATCTCCTTTGGTCCAATGTTTGGTCACGCACCCGGGACACTTGGGAGCGCGCTTTGCACAATGGTGATACCGAGGAGTTGTGGCGCATCTGGAGCACGGCTTTGGAAGAAGCCGGGGGAGTTGCTCCACATCTTGCTCATCGTTTTCGGGGCACAGAGCTTCACACCATGGACTTGGTTTTCAAGGGGCCCAATGCGTCTCGAATGAATCATAGGGAACGTCGTTTGCATCGTGTTTGGCGCCAGATCACCGAGCTTGTCAAACAATGGGAGCGGGGCAATGTGGATGCAAACTTGTTGAACAAAGCTACTCGTGCTTTTCGCAACCTTTGTCGTGAAGGCTTTATCGAAGAAGATGCTACAGAGCCTGTGGATATGCAACAGGCGTTGGACGTGGCTATCAGAGCGGAGGCCAAGGAAACGGCTTTGGACAGGTTCACAATTTGGAAAGAAGGAGCTCGCAAGGCCGGGCTCAAACCTTTGTTTGATTTCATTGGTGGCAAGACGCGATGTGGCCAGGTTGCCGTCACGACTCCAGATGGGCTCACGGCCGACCCTGCTGCTGTCCTTGCTCATGCTCAGGCGCAGTGGAATCGCAAAAATCATTCGGCTTTGGACGATGACCTCCGGCAGGCTTATTTGCGGCGGGTGCGGCCTCATGTAGTTCCTCACGTTCCTCCTCACGATGTCGATCGGCCCTTCTCTGTAAAGGAGCTCCGGCGTGCTTTGAAGGACACTTCTGGGTCCGCTCCTGGTCCTTCGCAGTGGTCGGCTGATCAGTTGTTGAAGGCGCCCGCTGAGGCGCTTGAAATGTTGGTTACGCTGTTGAACACCATCAAAGACACGGGTGTCTGGCCTGCAGCTTTGCGCATGCAGGAAGTTACCATGATTCCAAAGCGCGCGGGTGCCTCGGACATGCGCCCGATTGGGGTCACGGCAGTGGTCACTCGGATCCTGGAGAAGATGCTCCTTTCCAGATACAAGCCTTGGGTCGCGCAGATTCAAAAGACTGATGCCACCGAGATCTTGCTATCTGTCGAGGCCCACATTGCTCACGCCACCTCCACGGGCCAGCAATGTATTTTCCGTCAAAGCGATCTGAGCAATTGCTTCACTCGCCTGGATGTGGACATCGCCAAACAATTGGCGCAATGGTTTGGGATGCTCCCCAAACACGCCGAGCTTTACTTTGAGCTCAATCGTCGCAGGCCCGCTGTCATCAAGGCTGGCTCGGCGGTTAGTCAGTGGCAGGTTCCAGACAGGGGCATGCCCCAAGGTGATCCGGTGAGTCCTCTTGCAGCGGCCTTGTATGCGGCGGCTCATGAGGCCGTGATCCGGAATGACTTCCCCGCGGCTTCCTTCTACACGTTTGTGGACGACCGCACGATATGCACAACACAGGAGCAGCACATGACAGGGGTTGTGAACCTTCTTCGTGAACTTGATCATCTCAGTGGACAAGCCGAAGACGCTACAAAGGAGGAAATGGCTATCGTCAATGCAGTACCAGAAAGCCGTGATCTTTTCCCTCACGCGCGGGACGAGTACATTGACTTGTTGGGCATTCGTTTTGACCTCAATGGCAAGGCCGCTCCCAGCACTGCCCCCAGAGCCCGGGCTCGCTTCAAGGAGCTCGGGCTGCGGGTGGAACGTTTGGGCAAGATCACGCGCAATTTGCAACTGGGTTCTTCGCAGCTATGCAAGGTGATGATCGCCACAATGGGCCTTTTTCGATGGGATGCCGCGTGGATCTCGTGCAATTATTCGGAGGTCAAGTCCTTGGCCACGAAGATTGAAGTTACTTTGCAGGCTCGGAAACGCTACGCGGCATGGCGCCATCGTGGAGCTTCTTGGGTTTTGCAGCCGAAAGGTTGGCATGTCGAACCTATCGCTTTAATAACCTTTGCGGCGATCTGTGCTGGTCGACGATTGCAATTCTCTTCCTGGCGCACCGTCATCGAGCATGCTTGGTCCCAGCCGTCCGGTTTTCGCAAAAGCTTGGTGGATCGCATGAGGGATGCCTACGAGCGTGTGGGCTGGGAGGCTACAGATTCTCCTTGGACGGTTCAGACCCCGCAAGGCAGTTTCGACCTCAACATGATCAGCCGGGCCGTTTTTGGACACCTCCTGCGACAAGGGTGGAGACATTACATGATGAAGTGCCACAACTCTTGCAGACACGTTTGCATTGATGTGGATAGTATCGATGTCGTTCCTTTGCGCAAGTTTGTGGATGCAACGGTTCCTTCTTCAAGAGCTTTGGCTTGGCGATGCGCAGTTGCGGCAGAGCCCAACCATGAGAGGATGGCTCATATTGATCCAGTCACCTTCCCTTCTCAGGCGTGCCCCCACTGTGGCGCTCAGCGCGCTACCACCTTTCACCTCATGTATGAATGCGATAGCTCTGCTGCTCTTCGGGCAGAGCTGGATCTACAGCCCGACGCCCTCGGTGGTGATCTGGCAGGGTCTCAACGAGCGGCTTGGTTGCAGAACGGTTGGGCGCAGTGGGTTCCTCCACCTGCGGCTGGCGATTGGACTTGGCACAGAATCACTCAGTGGATTGAGGAAGTTCGTGCTTTGCTTGTGGCTCACCCTCCCAAGCTTTTCAATGGTGAGTTTCTCATTGCGACGGATGGCAGCGCGCAGTCACCAGCAGACCCGGAGACTCGAGTGGCAGCTTGTGCTGCGGTGTGGCGAACGTCTTCTGGTTTAATTTCCTGGTCCCAGCCTTTAGGCAATATTGAGAACACGGTCAATGCTGCTGAGTTGGTCATAGTCGTCGTGGTGGCAAAGGCGGCGGAGGCAGCGTCTATGGCTTCTTCTTTGCGTATTCTTACAGATCATGAAAGGGTTCCTGCAGCTTTCAAGAGCAGCAAATCTTCGTGCGACAAAGTTTCTCTTTGGAATGCTCTGAAGGAGGTTCACCGAGATGCTGGTTTTCGTCTGAGTTGGGTTCCTGCGCATGGCAAGCATGCACATGTTCATGTTCCTACGGAGTGGAGAGAGCTCAACATGGAGGCAGATCGCCACGCCAGCTTAGCTGCTCGTGGCGCCGTACACTTGCTGATTCCTTGGATTGGCGAGGTAAAGAGGAAGCGGCAGCGCGCCGCAGATATCCTCAGGCTTAAGCTTGAGGTCTTTCGACCTACACATCTTCAGCTTCTTGCAGGTGCTGGAGTTCGTTCTTGAGTTCTACATGTGGAGTGAAGACGTTGTCATCTTGCTCTACCTTTTCCTAATTTCACACCCCCCGTCAGTCGAGGCAGATGTTTGACGCCAAGAACATGATGTGCGCGGCTGATCCTCGCCACGGGCGCTACTTGACGGCCGCCGCGCTCTTCCGGGGCAGGATGTCCACCAAGGAGGTCGACGAGCAAATGCTCAATGTGCAAAACAAGAACTCCTCGTACTTTGTGGAGTGGATCCCGAACAACATCAAGGCAAGCGTCTGCGACGCTTTGACGTGCTTTGGGAGGGTTTCCAGACTTTTTTTCCCGTGGAAGCTGAGGAGGAGCGGTGGTCGTACGACTTGTTGAGTAAACTGGGGGTGGGGATTGCAAGTACATGACACGGATGTCGTGAAGTGAGCGCCTGCACCCCAAACCCTAAACCCTAAACCCTAAACGATCCGTTCGGAGTTCAGGGCGCTGAGAGCCCCTGAGACTCAGCCGAGGACATCCCGCCCAAAGGTCTGAAGATGGCCGTGTCCTTCGCGGGCAACTCCACCGCAATCCAGGAGATGTTCAAGAGGGTCGCGGAGTACTTCACCGCCATGTTCCGGCGCAAGGCCTTCTTGCATTGGTACACGGGTGAGGGTATGGATGAGATGGAGTTCACGGAGGCCGAGTCCAACATGAACGACCTCGTGTCGGAGTACCAGCAGTATCAGGACGCGACCGCCGAGGAGGAAGGCGAGTTCGACGAGGAGGAGGGCGAGTATGACGGGTGAGGGCTCAGCTGCTTGCCAGGGTCCCCACAAATAACAAGCCGGGCCTGACGCCTGAGTCGCGCATGGATGGTGCAGACCTTCTGAGGCCGCAACTCTCGCGACGGGGCCAGGGCGAATTTAACCTTTGCTTGCGCTTTCAAGAAAATCTTGAAAGCTTACTGAACATATCTGACATATATCTATCTGAACGATCTGCTCTCCCACAGGTGCGCGAGCACAGCTGTGTTGTATAGCCAGCAGCCAAAACAGATCGAGGCGATCGCTCAGCGAGCTTCATGAATTGCGATCATCTGCGATCTTATCTATGATCATCTGACATCCGGCAGCGCACGGCCTGTTCACGTATTCACGTCTCCCAAGACAGTCCAGTACTCGTCGGAGTTTGGGCACCATCTGCAGGATGCAGAGGTTGGATGTTTTGGAGTTCCATCCTTTTTTTGTTGCTCGCACCAAGGGTCCGTGCGGCATTCACTGTAGCACGACCTCAGCCCAGCACTTGTATACACTTCTAAGATGTTCTAGAAAGGAACCTCGAATGAGAAGGAGTTGGTTTGGATGTGCCAAGCCTGCTGTGTTTGAGTTCAGGCTAAGCTGCTGGCGCACGTGCTCAGTGCAACAAAGCTAGCAAGTTTCTCCCCTGCCGACCTTTGGCTACAGCGCGCCCGCCACGTCATAGCTTTGCGCCCCACCTCCTGCGCCCCAGTTCATCGTGTCCTCAAGCCATGCGCGAGCTCGTCCACATCCAGGGAGGACCTCGGGGTCCGGAATGAATGTTCGTGGCCTTTTGTGGCACGGGGGCCGCCCGGGCGGTAGAGAGGTAGTGAGCTGGTAGGGCTTCTCAGTAGCGTTGCTGAGCCAGTTTGTTGAATCACGAGCTTCTCCTAGCACAGCGCGCAGGCCAATGCGGGAACCAAATCGGCGCCAAGTTCTGGGAGGTAATCGCCGACGAGCACGGCATTGACCCTACAGGCAAGTCCATGTGCGTCAGGGAAGATAGTCCGGAGGGCCCGGACAGGCAGTGTTGGGACGTGCGCATGTACCCCAGCCCATTGCAGGCACCTACCATGGCGACTCCGATCTCCAACTCGAAAGGACCCTGCATAACTGCGTGCAGCAATCATGTCGTGACAATGGTTAATGACAGCAAGGTCCAGCCGGCTAGTGCAACTAGCACCCATCTTCAGCAGAGTTCTGAGTTGAATCCCTGAGAGGATCAACGTTTACTTCAACGAGGCGATCCCACTTTGCGGCTTGTGGCTGAAGACAATGTAGCTTAGGCTTAAGGCTTAGGCGTCCCCTTGCCTCGGGTCGACCTTCGGGGTTCAATCCCCCGGCATGACAGCCTCCTCTGTATTCCCATTGTGCTCTCTTCTTCTGCCTCGAATCACAGTTCGCAGTTCGCAGTCGCGCGCCCGCAAGAAAGTGAGAGGCGACTGGGGGTCGCTACGTGCCGCGTGCCGTCTTGATGGATCTTGAACCAGGCGACGCCTGGGTGAACATGATGGTGTAACCATGTGTAACCAACCGTCTATAGGCCATAATTGCATAGAATGGTGGGTTCGAAGACGACGTTCCTCTGCCAACGCCATGCTGTTTTTTTGTTGACCTTGTCGTCCATCTCATCTCTTAGAACCCAGTCAGTGCCATAGATATGCCATGACCTGCCATTCTGACGTGCCATTATGTACTGTCGCTGCAATCAAGCATGGCGCTTGAGAGCGTAGGTTTTTTCAGAAAGGGTTGCAAAGTGTTGTCGAATGAAGGGTTTGGAGAGGGCTCACTGTTGCATCTGTGATTTTGTTCGGATCGCTGCTTACTACTTGTGTCTAGTCGATTTGTTTTTTTGCTGCTGCAAGCGTTCGGACTGTCACTATCATTGAGGCCTACCCTAGACCCTAAACCCTCAACCCTACTGTAAGTTTCGAACCCTTGAGAACCTCTGAAGGCACAATGGACAGCGTCAGAGCTGGACCTTTCGGGCAGCTGTTCCGTCCTGACAACTTTGTCTTTGGGCAGACGGGAGCTGGGAGCCTCAGATGATCAATGAGGTACTGTAATCTTTGTAAAAAAAGCATCGGGTTGGTGTTTCGAAGCGTTTTTTCACACCCAGCCGGACCCAATCGGCCCAAGCTAAGATAGAGGCTACGCCTTGTTGGGGCCCGGGCGTTGGACTCGTTGGACAACTGAGGAATAACTGGGCCAAAGAGACTTGGACCTGTTTAGATATTTGTCGTCTTTGTTCCTTTTGGCATGCGGCATGCGACTGTCAGCATTCGGTTTTTCCGCCGTAGAAGCAGCTGGCAATGCATCCATGCAGTGCGTGCTCGGTTTTGCTTAAATCAGGGACACTACACGGAGGGTGCCGAGTTGATCGACAGCGTGCTGGATGTGGTGAGAAAGGAAGCAGAGGGCTGCGACTGCTTGCAAGGCTTCCAGCTTTGCCACTCGCTTGGCGGAGGCGTCGGCTGGGGATTGCGTTTTTTTTTGTTTTCCCGGGTCTGCATGTGGCATCATGAGTAAGAGCCGTGCGCTTGAGAGTGGCTTGAGGAACTGAAGGCTCTTGAGCGGTTTCGAAGCGCGGTGCTTGTGTGAGAGCGTGCATCACAAATTCTGCCCAATGTTGAGTCGTGCCCGGCGTAGCCCAATGGCAGGCACTGGGGCCGGCATGGGCACGTTGCTGGTGTCAAAGGTGCGCGAGGAGACGGGGTCACAGTGTCCTTGTGCTCTTCTGATCCACAGAGAGCAGAGAGAGAGAGAGAGAGAGAGACCGTTTGACCCGACTAATTTGCAAGCTGAACGTGACGACGTGTCTTGCCATGCCTTTTTGCAACGCCGGCCCTAACAAGGGACTGTTAGGGGTGTGGCATCATGACAAGCTTTTACGCAAACAGGAGTACCCGGATCGCATCATGGAGACGTTCTCCGTCATTCCCAGTCCGAAGGTGTCCGACACTGTCGTCGAGCCGTACAACGCCTCTCGGCTCTGCTGTTACACTTGCATCTCGCGAACCGCCTAAATATCCCCAAATCTTCCACGTTAAAACCCAGCTTGCCAGGCGTAAGACTTCTATAGGCCTTAACAGTCGACCTCACCGTTTTTTGCCGCCCATCATTTGTCTGTTTTGCTTATGGTGGCCCCGGGTGTTCGGCAGGCCGTGCTGAGCTTCCACCAGCTCGTGGAGAATTCCGATGAGTCCTTCCTGTTGGACAACGAGGACTGCCGGACATCGCGTGGAAGCATGACGCAGAGAGATACAGAGAGCAGCTGTAGTGCGGATATGGGTGATCTGGTGCTGCATGCCCACAATTAAGCTGGACTTGTCAAGTGCGCATTCAGCAACATGAAATGACAATTCGACTTGTCGCAGGCCCTGTATGACATCTGCTTTAGAACGCTGAAGCTGACGACACCGACCTATGGGGACTTGAATCACTTGGTGTCTGCGGCCATGAGTGGCGTCACATGCTGCCTGCGCTTCCCAGGGCAGCTGAACTGTGACTTGCGTAAGATCGCCGTGAACCTGGTGCCCTTCCCGCGGCTTCACTTCTTCATGACGGGCTTCGCTCCGCTGACGTCCCGGGGGTCGCAGCAGTACCGGGCACTCACCGTGCCTGAGCTTACGCAGCAGCTGGGCCATTTCTTGGGGAAAGTTGTGTGCCGAGCATTCATATGCTGTAAATTTTTGACCCGTTCCACACTGAGTCACTGAGTCCGCGCTTTCTCACTTAAATCATTATTTCAAATTTCGCGTCAGTCGAGGCAGATGTTTGACGCCAAGAACATGATGTGCGCGGCTGATCCTCGCCACGGGCGCTACTTGACGGCCGCCGCGCTCTTCCGGGGCAGGATGTCCACCAAGGAGGTCGACGAGCAAATGCTCAATGTGCAAAACAAGAACTCCTCGTACTTTGTGGAGTGGATCCCGAACAACATCAAGGCAAGCGTCTGCGACGCTTTGACGTGCTTTGGGAGGGTTTCCAGACTTTTTTCCCGTGGAAGCTGAGGAGGAGCGGTGGTCGTACGACTAGTTGAGTAAACTGGGGGTGGGGATTGCAAGTACATGACACGGATGTCGTGAAGTGAGCGCCTGCACCCTAAACCCTAAACGATCCGTTCGGAGTTCAGGGCGCTGAGAGCCCCTGAGACTCAGCCGAGGACATCCCGCCCAAAGGTCTGAAGATGGCCGTGTCCTTCGCGGGCAACTCCACCGCAATCCAGGAGATGTTCAAGAGGGTCGCGGAGTACTTCACCGCCATGTTCCGGCGCAAGGCCTTCTTGCATTGGTACACGGGTGAGGGTATGGATGAGATGGAGTTCACGGAGGCCGAGTCCAACATGAACGACCTCGTGTCGGAGTACCAGCAGTATCAGGACGCGACTGCCGAGGAGGAAGGAGAGTTCGACGAGGAGGAGGGCGAGTATGACGGGTGAGGGCTCAGCTGCTTGCCAGGGTCCCTACAAATAACAAGCCGGGCCTGACGCGTGAGTCGCGCATGGATGGTGCAGACCTTCTGAGGCCGCAACTCTCGCGACGGGGCCCAGGGCGAATTTAACCTTTGCTCGCGCTTTCAAGAAGACCTTGAAAGTAGACTGGACATGTCTGACATGTCTAAACCCTAAACCCTAAACCCTAAAACCCTAAAGTCTGAACATATCTAATGATCTGATCTCCCACAGGTGCGCGCGCCCCGCTGTGATGTATAGTCAGCCAGAAGGCAAGATGATGGCCTTGCAGCGGCGCTCGTAGCAATCTCCTTACAGTTGGCTCGCAGGGAATGAGGGAAGTAGGGACCTATGTGTACCCTTAAAGGGATTATTATAGGGTACCTCATTTTCCCATTCCCTACTAACCAGCAGTAAGTCTCCAAAACCCGAAGGCCAGGCCATTGACTTTGTTCAGCAACCCTAAACCCTAAACCCTAAACCCTAAACCCTAAACCCTAAACCCTAAACCCTAACAATGGCTCGGTGGAGTGCTAGGGTGGCAAAAAAAAAAAAAGAAATCCTTGTAGCCTGAGTCTGGGAATGGTTGGAAGGAAAGGGTTTAGGGTTTAGGGTTTAGGGTTTAGGGTTTAGGGTTTAGGGTTTAGGGTTTAGGGTTTAGGGTTTAGGGTTTAGGGTTTAGGGTTTAGGGTTCCTTAACCCTAAACTCTATAGGCCCTAATTCCTAAACCCGAAACCCTAAAGCCGGTCTTAAAAGGGAAGTGCAACCGTAATCGCCCCTGGAACAGAAGTGAGGGTTTAGAGGGTCGAGGGCGGGCTTCTTGCCCGGCCTGGAGTCAAAAGGGCTTACTTGAAGGTTCATGTAAGTAGGGTCATAAGTAACCTATATTGTTACCCTACTTGAGGTACTTACATCCTACTGTTAACTGCCAATGAACCTTCAAGTAAATTGTAGGGTTGAGGGCCGTGGGTGTTGACGGTGTGCGCCTTTTTTTGGGTACAGGGTGACTCTAGGCGGTAAGCTGCAACACCTTAATCTCGTCTTTGTGTGGGTGAATGTCTTGCCTGCCTGTGTGCGAGCGTGAGGGTCGAAACCTTGTCTGGTCTGGAACTTTCATAGAACAGACCATGCAAGGGGGCGGTCAGTTCAGCTTTAAGATCCCTAAACCCTAAGCCCTAAACCCTAAACTCCAAAGCCCTGTTACCACCCGAGGCTTGCGCTCGAGGCCGCACCCGACGAAGCCATGCGCAGAGTGGCTCAGCTCGAGGCGAGGGGCCTTACCTTAGGGCTTAGGGTTTAGGGTTTAGGGTTTGGGGTTTAGGGTTTTTTGGTGTAGGGTTTAGGGTTTTTAAAAAGGAGGCGAAGCTGAGAAACACAAATACTGGCCAGCAGTCGACGAAGCTTATAGCTTCTGACTATTGCCGCGCGTCGATTGTTTCGAGCTTTTTGGAAAGTAGGAAAACATCGTAAACACAAGCACTCGCGGTGAAGGCTAACAGGAAGTATGCGTTATGTTGGGATGCATAACTTGTGGTCTGTGGGCTAAAGCCCTAAACCCCCATAAACCCTAGCGTGCTTAAATCTTGCATTACCGGTTGCTTGTCCGAGTTATGCAAGTCGAGTCGTAGTGGGAGCGAAGCCACAGGAGTCCAGGTTTTGTGGGGAATAGGTTCATTCGGGTAGTTATGAGTAGGGTTTAGGGTTTAGGGATCGAAGGGTTTAGGGTGTAAGGTTTTGGGTTTATTGGAATTTCTTGGTTGCTGGGTAAGTAGTCATAAGTACGGCTGTAAGTGCCTCAGTCAAGGTTATTCCTATCTCCAATTAGAACGACCCCTGAAGTACCCAAAACAAAATGGCCTCCGGACTTTTGATGTTGGTGTACTTTGAGGCACGAACCCTAAACCCTAAACCCTCAAGGCGGGCACCTTCGGAGGTTTGAAGGTCAACGTTTAGGGTTTTGAGTTTTGGGTTTCGGGTTCAAGGCTTCAAGGCTTCAAGGCTTCAAGGCTTCAAGGCTTCAAGGCTTCAAGGCTTCAAGGCTTCAAGGCTTCAAGGCTGCAAGGCTTCAAGGCTTCAAGGCTTCAAGGCTTCAAGGCTTCAAGGCTTCAAGGCTTCAAGGCTTCAAGGCTTCAAGGCTTCAAGGCTTCAAGGCTTCAAGGCTTCAGCGTGCTCTTGAAAATCTGCGATGGCTAGCTTCTGAGCAGAGTGCCCACAGTGTTCACAGGCACGATGTTGCATAAGAAAGAATGGTTCTAGGGCTCAAACAAGGGTGTTTTTGACCCCCATGTCCTGCCAAAAGGGTGTTTTCTGACCCCTATGTCCTGATGTCAGGATGATAAAACATCCTGAGATTTGGCGGGGAATGAGCCCTTGTGGTTCAAAGCGGGTCTACGCGAGTCAGGCGATCTATGGCCACCTCTCCCAAATATGAGCTTGTGGTTGAATTGACTAAGCGGCTTCGTCCAGTAAGTGTCCCTTGGAGGGGTTACTGGAATTGTCAGGATGATATGATTTTGGGGTATCTTGGGGGGACCCTAAACCCTGACAATAGTAAAACGGCTTAATCCAGCCTGCATGTCGGCGAGGAGTTGATGCGACAGCGAGGGACGGAAGCGGAGGATGCAAAGCCCGGTCCTCAATGCCATCTTGGCCCCTAAACCTAAAGCCTAAGCCGGGTGGGGGTACCACTGGTTAGGCGTTCGAACCTTTTTCGGTCCGGTTTTCTACGGTTCGTACCCGGTTCGGTTCGCTCTCGTTTTGTTTCCGTATCGGTTCGGTTCCTGCAGTTCCGCTTCCCGATTCGCGGTTCGGTTCCGCGGCTTTCCTGTTATCCTATGAATATGTTTGTATGTATCTGTGTATATATATATATATATATACGTGCTTAACCTCTGAATAGATACACATATTTATATACATATGATTAACTTATGAATATATATATATATATATACACATAAACTCGATCTCAGAAAGCTTGAGGGCATGCTTAGTCATCTTGTTGTTGGGCTGACGGGCTTTTTTCTAAGTTAGGGAAGGGTCTAGGTTTTAGGGTTCAGGGTTTAGGGTAAAGCCCCCCTAGCCCCCATACCCTCAGCAGAATTGCACCTAGGTACATGATGTTGGACCCACTTGGGGAGGGATGTCTTCTAAAAAAGAAAAGTTTCACGTAGGGGGGTCAGGCGAGGTCCTCTACGGAGACATGCGCAAGAATACTTCCGGCTCCATTCCTTGCAGGAAGGGGCTTGGAGATTGGGGTGTGCTTGCCCTCCCTTCTTTTTAAGGTCGTTCATTCGGGAGCGTACAGAAGTTCCAAGAAAACCCCCTGCCCATGCTCCTCATTCGGTTGACTTGGGCCCCTCTGATTCAAACTCGAAGCTGAGGGCCAGGGAGCTGTCATCCTGCCACAAGTACTCTGGGCTTAGTTACAGCCCTGAAGCCCTTGAACCCTGAAACCCTTAAATTAAAGGCTTTAAGGCTTACTAGATCCTAAACCCCATCCCAGAAGACTGCCACTGCAGTCGCCGGAGGCGGGCTTTGACCGAGAAGGTCTCGCAAGCATCTGCCAGGGTCAGGGAACTCGAGGACACTTGCCTGGGGCACAACGATCTTCCCTTAAAGTTTTAGGGTTTGGGGTTTAGGGGGAGGGCAAACCCACACCGCAGTCCCTCTTCAGAAAAGGGTTTAGGGGTTTAAGGGTTTAAATTTGGGGTTAAGGGTTTACGGACAGGACAGGCACGTAGGGGTCCAGGGTGCATGTCACAGGATTTAGGCTCTGGCTCTGGGGCGCCAACATCCACCCCCTCAAGCTCCTCAGCACTTCTTCAGTGCTATCACTGTGCAGGCCCCTTAGGCAAGCCTGAGAGATCCCTAAGTCGACAAGACAACATCCCCTTTACGAATGCCGTCCAGTTGCTCCGGGGCAGTCTAATCCACTTCTGACTCACACCGTGTCACAGAGCGACACGCAGCCACCCACCTCACCCACTTGCTCGCTCGCTTGCTAGATCACTCACTCACTCTACAAGCTCATGCACGCACTCACCTCCCTCGCCTTACTCACCCGCTCTTTGTTTCCGCTGTCCGCTCACTCACCACATGCGCTCACACAAACTGCACCCACCTCACCCGGCCAATGGGACATCAAGCGGTCAAGCATCATACTAGCACCATAAATGACAGCGACTTGTCACGCGTGCGAACAGACGTACATGCATTCTCCCCACTGTTTGTTTCGCTCCTCTTTTTGCGATCCTGGCCGGTTGATCGCTGAGGTTCCCTGTGTGACTTCCAGGCTTAATCGGGTTGAATTGTGTTTTTTTGTCGGCTTTGGTCATTTGGTCTTTGCGGCTTCGTCTCCCCCCCCCATGGCCCTAAACCCTAAACCCTAAGCCCTAAACCCTAAACCCTAAACCCTAAACCCTAAACCCTGCACCTGTTCTTCAGGAAGCCCTTGCTGAGCAAGAGGCGCAGCACGCGGAAGCGCTGTGCATGGCTCAGCTGAGCACTCCGGGGGCTTCTGTAAGTTTAGGGTTTAGGGTTTAGGGTCTAGGGTTTAGGGTTTAGGGGCTTTCGGGTTTAGGGTTTAGGGGCTTTAGGGTTTAGAGTCCCGCCAGTTTCTTCGATGGTGTGGTGGGGGCTACGGTTTTGGGCTGTAGGGTTTAGTTTAGGGTTTGAGGCCTTAGGGTTTAGGGCGTTAGGTTTCCCTAAACCCTAAACCCTAAATCCTAAACCCTGAACCCTAAACCCTAAACCCTAAACCCTAAACCCTAAACCCTAAACCCTAAACCCTAAACCCTAAACCGTACGTTTCTTGGGTTTGAGGTTTTGGGGGTTAGGGCCGGTTAGGGCGAGGCATCCTCGCAGCTCAGGTCTTACCTTGGACCCCTAAGGTTGTGCCCCTGGGTTCCTCGAAAAGCCGAGCCATATTAGGGTTTGGGGTTTAGGGTTTAGGGTTTAGGGTTTAGGGTTTAGGGTTTAGGGTTCTTAGAAAAGGAGTATAGTAAGGGAACCTCATAGGGGGTACATCCTTGGGGGTCTGAGCAGCCATGGGTAGGGCCCGGAGGAAACCCGGAATCAAATATGGCTTCTTTTGAAGGATGCTGTGCATGTGTCAGAAGATCCTTTCAAGGGGTGTTTTCTCAGAGTCACAGGCTGAACCCTGAACCCGAAGCTCTACATGTAACTTCATCTCCTCCCCGGAAGCCCCCCGCCCCCTACCGTCCATGGTCTCCCCCGCCCCGTCCTGCGCCGAGGAGGCAACTGCACCTCGAGCAGGTGAGACAGCTGTGGGCGGTTTGGGAGCTAGGGTGTTGCGGGGATATGGGGGGAGGGAGGAGGAGGTGTATACTTGAATGTTCACGGGTAGCAAGAAGTAGGGTGATGAATGCCCGAACTCAGGCTTTTTTATGGGTGACTGGGTTACCCTTCCTTAGCCTTCAAGTAGGGTTTGAGGGTTACAGACTTGGTCATCAGCTTTGCGGTGTGTTTTAGCTTGGGAGCAGGCAGCAATCCGGGTCTTGCCAACTCCTCGGGGGGTTGCAGCACCCTAAACCCTGAACCCTAAACCTTAAATCCTGAACCCTAAACCGATTTCGGCTCAAACTGCTGCGCAGCCCCTGAGGGCCTGTGTTGGCAGCCCTGGGATTCATTTGACGACAGAGGGGCGCGGGCAGAATTTCAGTGCTACAGCTGCGGGCTGTTTCACCATGATGCCTGAGGGGCTGACCTGCAAGAGCCTTGCCTGCATCAACTTGGGCTTGGGGGTTTAGGGTTGAGGGTTGAGGGTTTAGGGTAGGCAAGACTCCTGAACCAGACGCGTAGACCCTTCCACTAAATTTCCCGCCGACAGCCTATACTCGAAGGTTCATGGGTAGTTAGAAGTAGGGCTAGAAGTACCTTGCAAAAGGTTATAATATGGATTTCCTTGCTTATAGCCCGTGAACTGCCCATGAACCCCCGTTTATTTGGGGGTTGCGACTGGGGTCGGTGTATGGGAAGCTCCGACATCCGAGCGCCCGCCAGGTTTAGGGTTTGCCGTAGGGTGGGTCACCGAAGTCCAGCTTCGAAAGGGTTTAGCGTTTGGGTTTAGGGTTTGGGTTAGGGCTACCTAAACCCTAAACCTTACAAATCTTCAGTCCCTGCGTCAAAAGGGAATTGCATGTGAGTCTCAAAAGCTCGCAGGTCTCAAGCCTGAAAGCCCTCAATCGCCCTACAATTGCTGAACATCAAGACAGTTTATACACACACACATACACACACATACATATATATATAATATGTGGAAAATACCAACAGTATAATTTATAGGCTGAGCAGTGATTTAGGGTTTAGGGTGTTTCGGTTTAGACTATATGATAGTATACTGTATTTCCTAGACTGTACTGTACTCTGCTATACTGCATTTTGCTATACTGTACTGTGCTATACTATACACCATACACTATACACACCATGCACACTACATACACTATACACACTTTGTATACACTATACACTATATGAAATAGACTATATACTATAGACTATTTAATATACACTATATACTACATACTTTAATGCTCTATACTCTATACTCTAAACTATGTACTATACTATACATACTATCCTCTCCTCCTCTCCTCTCCTCCTCTCCTCTCCTCCTCTCCTCTCCTCCTCTCCTCTCTTCCTCTCCTCTCCTCCTCTCCTCTCCTCCTCTCCTCTCCTCCCTCTCCTCCTCTCCGGAGCATGCTACAGTCAGTTACTACAGCCTGTTGCAGCCTGCTCGCGGGATCCCCACAGATAGAAAATGCCTGGCCTTAAGCGTGGACTAAAGCCCTGCAGGCCCTCGTAGAACCCCCATATATGGAATACACCAGGTTTCAAGTGAAGACACATAGAAGCTGAGACGCATAAGTCTCGCAGGCCCTCATTGTAACCCCATCTGGTGCTTGACGAATCTTGAAACCCATAGATAGAACAAGTGTGCAGGAGGCCAAAAAGCGGTCGTTTTTTCGGGGTCCCGAATGTATTCTATCTATGGGTTTTAGGACTCTTTGAGATATTCTATCTATGGGTTGCTTCAAAAACGTGGGAAAAAGCCCAAAACCCCGAAGGAGAAAAAACAGCACGAAACCCAAATTCTATTTATTCAAGGCTGACTATAGTTTATTGGATTGGAACGAATATTAAACCAAAAGATTGATAGAACAGCAGAATGACCCAGAAGTAGGCAAAACATCTGTGTTACAGAGGCTGCGCCCGTTCACCTTGAACAGCCACAACTTCCTACATGGGGGTCTACGAAAATAAGGTGCTCCTTCTGTAAACCCCAAATAGTAGGATCTCCTCACAAGGATCCCAATAAGGTACCTCGAATTTGGGAAACCCCCACACCCTAAACCCTAACCCTAAACCCTAAACCCTAAACCCTAAACCCTAACCTTAAACCCTAAACCCTAAACCCTAAACCCTAAACCCTAAACCACATCAGGAACACTTTCTTCGACCTCGTGGAAGAGGAGCCCAATCAGCGGGAGGGGCCCCAAACTTGCCCCCCCAGCAGTGACGGCCGCCTGGAAAGCAAAGGGTTTAGGGTTTAGGGTTTAGGGTTTAGGGTTTAGGGTTTAGGGTTTAGGGTTTAGGTGTAGGCCCTTGGGGCAGTTTACATCTTCCCTTCTTGGGTTTAAGAGGATCAGATTCAGGAACAGTTCTCAAAGGGTTGTTAGGGGCCATCCAAGGCACACATTGCGCGCGAACCACTATGTCATGCTGCACAGGGTACTGCACCTTAAGTTTGTGCACTCAAGGACATATCCACTTTGTTACATTGTTGTGCCGGCTTGCGCGGCTTCCAGCGCGATGTGGTAGTGGAACATCCTGGCTTCCTGTTGTCTGCATACCGAGGGTTTAGGGTTTAGGGCTTAGGGCTTAGGGCTTAGGGGTTAGGGTTTAGGCGCCCTGTTGTACCTTGCAGTCACAACAGCGACATTTAAAGATGGACCCGACAAGCACATCCAAGAAATCGTGGCAACCACCTTGCCAGCCGTGTGCGAACGTGAGAGCCGAAACCCTAATGAAACCCGAAACCCAAACCCCCAAACCTAAACCCTCAACCCAAAACCCTGAACCCTAAACCCCAAACCAAGACCATACTGCTATAGGGGTCGGAAAAATGACTAATGGTATTCCCTTAGGGTTGCTTTGTAATTATAATCAATAAACCCTAAAAACCCTATGAAAGCAATTCAGGCCCCTATAGTGTAGGTATTATTGGTGCAGTTGAAACTAAGCAGGCTCCGGCCCATCCCCTTGCACCACCTGTCACAGCTCCACCCGTAGATGGGCAACCGCCTATCAGCCGAACGTTATCTTTCCGACAGACCCCCCCAATCCCCAAACCCTAAACTAAAACCCTAAACCCTAAACCCTAAACCCTAAACCCTAAACAAGTTGCAGCTGAGGATGGTGGTGGCCTACCAGCTCGATGGGCTCCGCCACTTGTCGACTGCTCGTTCATGCAGTGTTCCCCATCGAGCGCAGAAGCACAGAAAGGGCTTAGGAATGAAGATCGTTGGCCACCACTATCCTCAGCTGCAACTTGTTTAGGGTTTAGGGTTTAGGGTTTAGGGTTTAGCGTTTCAAAGTTTACGTTCCCGAATCCGTGCAGCGGTTTCGAGAGTTGGGAGGGGGGGGGGGTGGTGCGCTTTCCGGGGGGGGGGGGGGGGGGGGGGGCGCCTGCTTTAAATGAAGATTTTGGCAGTTTCGAATAAGTCAGGAGTAGCATGAATGGGCCTTTGTCCAGACGCCTTCTTGCAGAAGATAACTGTAACTTAAAGTTTCCAGGCCCCGGGTTTATGTTGTCTGTAAAGTAAGGGTTTAGGGTTTATAGGGTTTGGGGTTTAGGGTTTAGGGTTTAAGGTTTAGGGTTGAGGGTTTAGGGTTTGCTTAAGTGTTGAAAGTTAGACTAGGCGAGCGCACGGGCATGCTCCGGCAGCAAGCAACAGCACCTCAACAGTTCGTGGCCTTGGCCTTCCCACGAGCTACTCATGGGTTTGGGGTTTGGGGTTTAGGGTTTAGGGCTTAGGGTTTAGGGTTTAGGGTTTAGGGATATTCTACCGGATATGTGGCTTAGCTGCAGTAGCAAGATCGGGATTTTCGAGCAAAGGACGGCAGCCGCGATCGGAGCTTGCCATCGAGCCCAACAACGCCATTTGACATTCCGAACATGTCCGGCAAAACCAACATTCTGAGGACCCCCAGTTGGTTTGGTGACACGTCTCCTGGCCCTCAAACAAACTTTCTCAGCACACCGAGCTGGTTGGATGACCTTGTTCCCCCACCCTCCAGCCAAATGCCCCCCTTGAGCACACCCGACTGGTTGGAAGGGGATATGCCAGCATATGCCAAGCTGCCAAGCTTTGAGAGGGGTCCCTTGCTTAAACGGGCTCCCACACCGAGCTCTGGTGATGGCCGCACGCCGACAGCAACCGAGGGCAGCACCGCCGCACGCCGCACGCCGGACCCTTTCGACGACACCCCCAGCCCACCCATGGACATGCAGTTTTCCAACTCAAGCAGCCACTTCCGACAGCTGCTCGCAGGCGCGGTTGCTGAAGCAGACGAGCCACCCACACCCGAGGCCTCGGAACGCCGCCCCATCAGCCAGCCACAGCCACTCATGGAGCCTCCCAATGGTAACTGGGCGCGGCCTTTGATCAAGCCCCCAATGCTCTTGGCCACAGCGGCGCCCCAGAATGAGGCTCCGGGCCCACCGGGCCCGGGGCCCTACGCCAACTCACTCTTCGGCACAAGCCGGGTGCCCCCACCGATGCCTGTGCCGCTGCCGCCCATGCTGCTGGGCTGAAGCGCTTGTTTTTTAAAGTTTTTGGTGTTCTTGGAGCTTTCAAGGCTTCAGGGCATGTTCCAACCCCCAGATCAAGGACGTGCTCCACAGTCCTCGGAGCCCCGCGAAACGAAGGTTAGCTGGCAGTTTGGGACGTTTGGGGTGTGACGAGTTGTATTGTGCAATATTGTGCATCAATATGTTTCAGTCGTGAGCATTTTGTATCTCGCAGCTGAGAAACATGGGCTGAGAGTTGATGTGCTAGGCTCTGCAGACGAACTCAACAATTGACCAGAAGCACGTGCTGGAAATCTGGACCACTCTGTTTTCTGTCTGGGGTGGATGTGCGCCCTGTTTTCTTCGTGTGTCCATTGCTCCCTACCCCTCAAATTCAGACGCCCAGGCCTCGATCCGGTGACCAGTGTAAGGTGAGGGTTGTTTTGGGTATGGAGTTATACGTAATGTTGACCTAGTAATAATAAACCCCACCCCCCCCCCCTTCAATCAAACCCCCCCAAATAGAGTGGGGGGCCCCTTTGAATAAGGATTCCTTTCCTTAGAGAGAATTAGAGAGGATCAGAGAGAATCACTCAGGATTCCTTTCCTTAGAGAGAATTAGAGAGGATCAGATCCCTAAACCCTAACCCTAACCCTAACCCTAAACCCTAAACCCTAAACCCTAAACCCTTAACCCTAATTCAATAAGACTCCACAAAACCCAAGTAAACCTAAGGCATGAACCCTAAACCTAATGAAACCATGAAGCGATCATTTGAAGACTTTTTTCAGGCAGGAATTTCCAGGAACTTTATTCGGAGGGGCAAATCTTTCAGGATTATTTCCAGGGCACCGGCCTCCAAAGCTACCCCCTTTGCCAGAAAGATTTTTTCAATCCTTTAGTAAGGCTCTCAAATAAAAATCAGCAAGTTTCTGAGGAGTTTGGTTTTCAGGTTTCTCTTCGAAATCTGATCGCTTCATGTTTTCCTAATTAAATCCTAAACCCTAAACCCTTAACCCTAATTAAACCCCAGACCCAAAACCCTAAACCCTAAGACTTTAATTGCAGGGGCCCCCGGATTTAGAGACCAGGCCATACCCTTATCCCTAAACCCTAACCCTAACCCTAAACCCTAAACCCTTAACCCTAATTCAACAAGACTCCACAAAACCCAAGTAAACGTAAGGCATGAACCCTAAACCTAATGAAACCATGAAGCGATCATTTGAAGATTTTTTTCAGGCAAGAATTTCCAGGAACTTTATTCGGAGGGGCAAATCTTTCAGGATTATTTCCAGGGCACCGGCCTCCAAAGCTACCCCCTTTGCCAGAAAGATTTTTTCAATCCTTTAGTAAGGCTCTCAAATAAAAATCAGCAAGTTTCTGAGGAGTTTGGTTTTCAGGTTTCTCTTCGAAATCTGATCGCTTCATGTTTTCCTAATTAAATCCTAAACCCTAAACCCTTAACCCTAATTAAACCCCAGACCCAAAACCCTAAACCCTAAGACTTTAATTGCAGGGGCCCCCGGATTTAGAGACCAGGCCATACCCTTATCCCTAAACCCTAACCCTAACCCTAAACCCTAAACCCTAAACCCTAAACCCTAAACCCTAAACCCTTAACCCTAATTCAACAAGACTCCACAAAACCCAAGTAAACCTAAGGCATGAACCCTAAAGCTAATGAAACCATGAAGCGATCATTTGAAGATTTTTTTCAGGCAGGAATTTCCAGGAACCATGCCCCGACTGGCGTACTTTATTTCCAGGGCTTTATTATTGCGGCCGGGACACCTGGCGTACTTTAATATTAGGGGCTTTAGTAATACTAGGTTAACATTAAGGTCAGCTGTATTCTCACCTTAGTAAAGGTACGTAAAACCCCGCTTATGACTACCATTAACTACGTACATGAACCGTCCTAAACCCGAATTCAACCCTGGACCTTAAGCCCAACTGAGGCTGCCTTCTGGCTCTCTGCTCAACGAAAGGCCGGACTTTGGCGTTGGACCAGGCCAGGGCATCGGGCTCAGGTGGGAGGTGACGATAACAGGCGAAGGGGAACCGGGGTCCGATCCCAGAGACCCCAAGATCCCCTTGAACAACGAAGGGCTAAAGGCATAGTCCTGAAAGCATACCATGCGTCCATTGAACAATTCAAGCAATCACGCCTCTAATACAGGGATATGGGCGTCTCTGAGATGGCAGTCAGGTTCTTCGGGTTTCAATCTCGGTGGGTCGTTGAAGGTGACTTGGCAGTGACGATAGGTTGGTATGGGGAACCCTAAACATAAAACCCTAAGCCCTAAACCATAAACCTTAAACCCTAAACCGCTTTGCCTCACAGCTCCGACTTTGTATGTCCGTTCCAGCGGATGCCTGAGCTGCATTTCATCTTCTTCCCATCTGACATCCCCCTCACACGCCCAGTGTTCATCACAAGGCTCTCAAGAAGGGTAGGGCAAATATGCATTGGACCCGAACTGGGAATTACTACTCCCAACGCCAACCCCTGTATGTCTAAACCGAAAAAACAACCAAACAAAAAAAAAGCAGCCCTCAAAGCCAACGCCATAAACCCTCATCCCCGCCTTCAGGATTCCGGGGCTTTGCGCCGTTCGATGAGGCAACTTGCTGAAGGGGAGGGAGGGGGGGGGGGGAACCCGGGGGAGGGGCATTCTGAGTTCTGCTTGGAGGTTCATGGTACTTTCTAACCGCTTATTACTGCACTTATAGCCCACTTATAAGCCCTTTAAGTGCCATAACATGGTTATAAGTACAATGATAAGTACAGTTATAATTGGTAAACAAGTACCATGAACCTCCAAGTGTTTCTTCGGGGCCCCTTGAGCTGTGTGGTGCAATTATTTTGCACTTAGAGTTGGGGACTAGAACGGGACTAGGGTTTAGGGTTTAGGGTTTAGGGTTTAGGGTATAGGGTTTAGGGTTTAGGGGTTTATAGGCGGCGTTCAGGTCATCGGGTTTAGGTTTTCGGCAAAGGCCCGAGTGTGGGGGAGGCGGATTCACGGTTTGGCGCAGACATGAAGGTGTTGTAGTGCTCTGCATTCTGCATGTTCATGGACGATCGCGCGTCTTCTTCCAGTCTTCCAGAAGCGTTTCTGTTCCGTTGAATGCACAAAAGGAAAAAAAGGTTGCAAACACACCCTAAACCCTAAACCCTAAACCCCAGTTGTTGGAGCATGTCCGCAAAAGGCAGGGACGCTCGCGACTGCACATCCCTCGCTCCTGATCGCTCTAGAAGCGTCAAAGCATCCCCTGGCTGTATCCGCATAATTTACTTGGAGGTTCATGGTACCTATTTAGCCAACTATAACTGTACTATTGCTGTACTTATAACCCACTTTTAAGCCCCTTAAGTGCCCTCATATAGTTAGTGGAGGTTTCAGGCTGGCGGAGCTTGTCATTTCTAGGATTCCTAAGTGCAGCCAAAATTGGTTAATAAGCACCGTGAACCTCCAAGTACAAGAAGGGACGACATGCTGTGAACACCAGGGCTTGCTACTATTTGCTTAAGAACCCCAAAAGAATAAAAAGTAATAATCCCTATATTCCCTTTAATGAGGAAGAATATATGTATATATATATATATATTATATTTTTTTATTTTATTTTTCCGGGGTTCTGAAGCAATTAGTAGCTTGGGGCATGTTCACAGCAATAGCGTGTGATTGCGACGGCGCGTCTCGTTCCGGAAGCGTCAAGCATCTTTGGGCCTTTAAAGCCCTAAACCCTAAACCCTAAACCCTAAACCCTAAACCCTGAACCCTGAACCCTGAACCCGAAACCCTACACTGAGGCGCTGTCAACAACTGCTTTCTTTGCGGATGAAATTAAACCTAAAAGGTTCCCTAGGGAACCCTATAAGCCGTGTAAATCCTATATTTGGGGTCACACACCCTAGACTACTCTAATGCCTATTACGGTATGTATATATATATATATATACATATATATATATATAAATACAGGTATGAACCACAAACCTTTTATCACTGAGTGCCCAAGAAACAAAAAAATCGACCATATATTTCCTTATGGGGTCTTCAGCAAGTAATCGTAAAAGGCTTATGGTATGTATAAAAATGGTTCGTATACCTTAATACTGGTAGCAAGTACAGGGTACATGACCCCAATTTTAGGGTTCATTTGGGAGGGCCTATTTTTTTGGGTCTTTTATTTTTTTTGGGGGGGGCCTTTTTTTTTTGTTGGTCGATTTTCTTGGTTTTTCCTAAGAAAACCACCATTCCCTCCATATTTTTAAAGGATTTGATGCATTTTCGTGGTTTTTGGTACGAAAAACAGTAATTTCTCTGTGGTTTCATAGGAAAGCGTTATTTCTGGTACGTTTTAGAAGGAAAGAAGGAAAGAAAGGAAGGAAGGAAGGATGAAAGAAAGGAAGAAAACAAGGAAGGAAGGAAGGAAGAAAGGAGGGAAGGAAGAAAGAAGGGAAACAAGGAAGGAAGAAAGGAAGGAAAAAAGGAAGGAAGCAAGGAAGGAAGAAAGGAAGCGTGCTTCGAAGCCCAAGAAACTAGTTGAAAAACATCGTGTGAGCATTGTGTTTGCAAATGGGGGGGGGCTGCGCCCCCCCCAACCCCCCCGCTTTTTTTGTTTTTTTTTAAGAAGTCCGGTGCAGAGGCGCCAGCATTCACAGCCCAAAATAAAACTTGTGACCACCCATCAGTGTTAGCAGACAAAAAGAAAGGGGGTTTGCAAACAAAATAAGGGGCGGGGGGGTGCGCCCCCCCCCAACCCCCCCCGCTTCTTTTAAGCCGTACCAAGCGTGCTTCAAAGCCCAAGAAACTAGTTGAAAAACATCGTGTGAGCATTGTGTTTGCAAATTGGGGGGTGGGCTGGCGCCCCCCGCATTTTTTAAGCTGTGCAGAGCGTGCTTCAAAGCCCAAGAAACTTGTTGACACCCATCATGTGAGCATGGTGTTTGCAAATGGGGGGGGGCTGCGCCACCCCCAACCCCCCCCCGCTTCTTTTAAGCCGTACCAAGCGTGCTTCAAAGCCCAAGAAACTAGTTGAGAAACATCGTGTGAGCATTGTGTTTGCAAATGGGGGGGGCTGCGCCCCCCCCCAACCCCCCCGCTTTTTTTGTTTTTTTTTAAGCCGTGCAGAGCGTGCGTGCTTCAAAGCCCAAGAAACTTGTTGACACCCATCATGTGAGCATGGTGTTTGCAAATGGGGGGGGGCTGCGCCCCCCCCAACCCCCCCCGCTTCTTTTAAGCCGTACCAAGCGTGCTTCAAAGCCCAAGAAACTAGTTGAAAAACATCGTGTGAGCATTGTGTTTGCAAATTGGGGGGGGGCTGGCGCCCCCCGCTTTTTTTAAGCTGTGCAGAGCGTGCTTCAAAGCCCAAGAAACTTGTTGACACCCATCATGTGAGCATGGTGTTTGCAAATGGGGGGGGGGCTGTGTGGCGCCCCCCCCAGAAAACAACCCCCCCCGCTTCTTTAAGCCGTACAGCGTGCTTCAAAGCCCAAGATTATTGAGAAACATCGTGTGAGCATTGTGTTTGCAAATGGGGGGGGCTGCGCCCCCCCCAACCCCCCCGCTTTTTTTAAGCCGTGCAGAGCGTGCTTCAAAGCCCAAGAAACTTGTTGACACCCATCATAAGCTTCTCGGCTCGGATCACATGTTTTTTTTGGTAGGGGGTCAATCGGGTTCCAGGCCTAACAGGTTCTCTGTTCAACTGGACCCCCTTCCGGACGCTGTAGTTCTTGCCTTTGCACATGGTGTCTCAATACTGAGCCTGGGAAGCCGCACTTCGGCACCCATTCACAGATGCAATGAAGATGGCGATATGTCTGAGACCCGTGCATTCAGGTTGTCCTCGGTGCACTCACTGGCCTTCATGGATCTGGTATGGTATTTGCATGGCATTCTGCTACTGGATGTTTTTGGAGACGCCTTTGCCACCTGATGAGCTGGTTGCGCAAACGCAGTTAGCCCCACGGTTGGGAGATACACGAGTGACACCTTCAAGCATCATCACTGCAGGTCCGCTCTTCTTTATTTTACGAGCCGTGCCGGTCCCAAGTCCGGCAACCAGCATTGGATGGGCCACTGAAGACAGGCCAAATGTATTGCTGGTAGAAGTGAGGGTTGCTGCAGATTCCAGTGCTGCAGCGGGAGCCAATCAGGTTCGTGATCACCTGGGCTTCATGTGTGGGCGAAGATACTGGCCAGGCATTATGTACGCACCAACGCTTCGGGGCGGACTGCAAGGTACAGTGTTTTCACTGCCAGCGAGCTCGCGCCTATGCTCAGTGCTTGGTTTATTTATTTCGTATTTGCTTTTGTTCTTCATGTTGTATGACTATTCATTGCCACTTACGGTTGCCAGGCTTTGCGGCAATCAGGCATTTTGGGATGAATGTATGGCCACTTGCGGTTGTCAGGCTTTACGGCAACCAGGCCTATGGGCAGGGCGCCGTCTTCGGCCCCTACATTGTGCTGCTACAGTTTGTCTCTATGCAGATGAATTCGTTTTTGCTGAGGCGTCGTCTGGGACTGCTCTGATGGCCCACCTCATGGTGCTTTCACTTTCGGTTGCAACGGCTGGAAGGATATGTGACGACATTCGTTGTGGACAGTTCGTTCCTGTTTCCCACCTAGCCCTTCTGGGATTTCGTGGGTCGGCCCATGGCGAGTTTTCGGGCAATGAGGCAACTTGCGCGATGCGACGAGTCACTGTAGTACCAGACTCTCCATGGAGGTCCTCAACTGTCTGCCCTATGAGTTTGGATCATCGTTGAGCTGACCATATTTGACTCAGTTCTTTGCTTGTACAATGCATGTGCTGGAGCAGTACCACACACTCACCCCATACTTGCTTGGTTTTTCTTGGCCACTTGCGATTGCCAGGCTTTACGGCAACCTGGCCTGCGGGCGGGGGCGCCGTGTTATCGGCCCTTCTATTCAATATGCTGCTGCTATTTTATTTTCTTGTCTGGTGGGTGCATTGGGCTTCCTCAACGTGATGGTCCCCTACGCTGTGTACCTGCCGCTGAGGTATTCTTGGGATTGCTCTGATGGTTCTCTTTCCTCGTGGGGTGCTTCTGCCAGCTTTCTCTCATGGAGGCTGCCGCTTTGGCAAAG